CGAATTCATGGTTGTTTTAACATTTAATTGGTGAATTAACTTGTAAAATTTTGAAAACCCTTTTGGTTTAATTTGAATATTTGAGGGTCGAGTTGATGTCAGAATTTAGTAAAATTTGTATGGTTGGACTCGTGGTTGAATGAGCGTTCATATTTTATAACTTTTTTTGGTTTTGAGATGTGGGCCCCATGGTACTACTCTGAGTTTCGCCTATGAAGGGTGTTATGTGATTTGGGAAGAAGGGCAAGTTGAATCCTAAGTATATTGGACCTTTTGAAATACTTAAGAAGATTGGAGAGGTGACTTATGAACTTGCATTGCCGCCTAATCTATTGGGTATTTATCTAGTGTTTCATGTATCAATGCTCCGTAAGTATGTCGGAGATCCGTCTCATGATTTGGATTTCAGCACAGCGCAATTGGATGGTAATTTGACTTATGATGTGGAGCCGATGGCCATTTTAGACCAGCAAGTTCGAAAGTTGAGATCAAAGAATATAGCTTTAGTAAACGTACAATGGAGAGGCCAGCCAGCCGAAGAAGAAGATACTTGGAATACTGAGTGGGAAATGTGGAGAAAATATCCACACCTATTTGAGGCTCCATGTTTGATTCTAAACCCATTCGAGGATGAACGTTTATTTAAGAGGGGTAGAATGTAATGGCCAGCCCGGTCGTATTGGGTATTACAACCTTGTTCCCCTATTTACTGCTCAATTTATGCTTTACAGTTGTTATACGACTTGACGGAGTAATTGGTTCTGGTCCGGTGAGGGCTTGAAATGAATAGGAATACTTAGTTCCAAAGTTTAAAACTTAAGTTGAAAAGGTTGGCTGGATGTCGACCTATATGTAAACGACCCCTAAATAAAGTTTTGATGATTACAATAGCTCCATATAGTAATTTTGGACTTAGGAGCATGTCCGAAAAATTATTGGGAAGCCCGTTGCTAAATTAGGCTTGAAATGGCTAAAATAGAAATTTAAGTTTGAAAGTTTGACCGGGGAGTTGACTTTTTGATATCGGAGTCGGAATCCAGTTCTAAAAATTTTAATAGCTCCGTTATGTCATTTATGACTTGTGTGCAAAATTTGAGGTCAATCGGAATTGAATTGATAGGTTTCAGCATCGAAGGTAGAAGTTGGAATTCGTTAGTTTTCGTTAAACTTGAATTGGGGTGTGATTTGTGATTTTAGCATTGTTTGATATGATTTGAGTTTTTGACTAAATTTGTATGATATTTTAGGATTTGTTGGTGTATTTGGTTGAGGTCCCGGGGGGAGTCTCGGGTGAGTTTCGGATGGTTAACGGATCAAAATTTGGACTTAAAGAGCTGCTGGAATTTTCTAATGCATGTATCTTGTTTCCTTCATCGCGTTTGCGAGGGGGGTCTCGCGTTCGCGAAGAGGAAATTCGGACTGGCCTATTTTCAGCTTCGCGTTTGCGACCGGGGGTACGCGTTCGCGAAGGGTCAAGGGGCAAAGCTACGCGTTCGCGATCGAGGCCTCGCGTTCGCGAAAGGGAAAGCCGCCCTGGGGGAAATTGGTTTTCGCGTTCGCGGGACCGTGCTCGCCTTCGCGAAGGAGTAAATCCGGGTAGCACAAAAAATGTGCTTCGCGAACGCGAGGGAGCTGTCGCGTTGAGAAGAAGAACGCCTGGACAGAAACTTTAAGTTTTGAAAATGGGACTTCGTCCCATTTTTTATTTTTGACAAATTGGAGCTCGGGAAGAGGCGATATTCAGGATATTTTCAAGGGAAATAACGGGATAAGTGTTTTTAACTCAATATTTGTTAAATTACTCGAATCCATGGTTGTTTTAACATTTAATTGGTGAATTAAGTTGGAAAATTTAGAAAATCCTCTTGGTTTAATTTGAAGATTTGAGGGTCGAGTTGATGTCGGAATTTAATAAAATTTGCATAGTTGGACTCATGGTTGAATTGGCGTTCATATTTTGTAACCTTTGTCGCGTTGCGAGACTTGGGCCCCACGGGCATTTTTGGGAGCAATTTCGAATTTTGTTGAAAAATTAGTATTTTCATATGTAATTAATTCTTATAATTTGCATTAACTGAATCAAATTAATTATAACTAGATTCGAGGCGTTTGGAGACCAATTTGCAAGTCAAAGGCCTAGCGAGTAAAGAATTACACGGCTTGTTGTAAGTAACACTTCTAAACTTGGTTCTGAGGTTATGAATCCCCGAATTTGATGACGAGCGTGTGGATATGCACCATAGAAAGTGTAACTTGAAAAAATCATGTTAAGTTGTAAAAATTAAAGAATCATGTTATTATTCGCATATACTTCACGTGTTAGAAATTGAGCTGAGACTCATATTAAAGATCATGATTTGGCTACGTGCCGGTATTTTTGGGGGACCCACAGAGTTGTGTTGCTGTTGAATTTAATTGCTTTAAAAATGTATATTTCATAATCAGTCATGTTAATAAATGTGAGAATATTTATGGGATCGAGGCTACCGCCTGCAGTAGGCCATATCGGCTTTATATATATTACTATTATATGGAATGAGCTGCCCGCCTGCAATATGCCTTATAGGATTTATAATTATATGGATCGGGGCTGCCCGCCTACAGTAGGCCATATCGACTTTATATCACGCTTGGGCTGAAGGAGCCCCTACGGAGTCTGCACCCCCCACAATGAGCGTAGATAATTTATATTCGGGATGGACTTCCCAGGGCATGGACTTGCCTTATTTATATATGTTCGGGATGGACTTCCCAAGGCATGGATTTTCTTTATTGTTTTATGATTGTGCTGAATTTTCCTTGGACATGGATATTGTCCTAGTCAAATATATTTGGGGATAAATTTACCCCTAGGTTGGATTGGCCTTATACAGTACTAAGTCATTGACTGGAAGTTGAAGTGTGTGTGTGTGTGTGTGTATATATATATATATATATNTTGAAAGCATGCCTACATTTCCGTACTATTATTTCTATACTGGACTAGACCTGCTGAGCTCGTTACTGCTTTCAGCCCAAAGGTTAGTCTTGTTATTTATTGAGTTGGTTGTACTCATACTACACTCTGCACCTCGTGTGCAGATCCAGGTGCTTCCGGACACGGCGACTGTTAGATCTCAGAGTGTTATCGGTTGGAGATTATCAAGGTAGCTGTCTGGCGTCTGCTGACCTCGACTCTCTTCTTTTCAGTTATTGTACTGTTCTATATTTTCAGACAATACTTTTTTCAGTTAGACTTTGTTATCATTTAGGTGCGCATGTACTTAGTGACACCGAATTTTGGGAGTGTATTTATATATATGTATTTGTGAGATTTTCTTTTTCACTGGATTTAAATATTATGTTTTCAAACTTGAAAGAAATTATGATTTATTGAGGTTGACGGCTTGCCTAGTAATGAGATAGGAGCTATCATGACGGGTTAGAATTTTGGGTCGTGACAATTTAGCCCTTCTCCCATCTATTTATGTTATCTCAGGGCAATTTTTCTTTTGCAACCATAAATGCCAGTAAAAGCAATCTCGTCGACTAACAACCCTTAACTGGAAATCTCTGGTCACCGTGAGAACTTACAACTGTATAGATCGGAGGGTTTCAATTTAAGATGAGACATGAAAAAAATGGAAGACTATTTTGTTAGCTTTTTCAAAACAAGCCGCTTTGAGCAGGGGTGTATATAGGTCGGATTGCTTCGGATTTTCTAATTACCAAATTAAATTAATGGTGTCGGGTTTTTAAATCTATAAATCAAATCAAACCAACAAAATCGGGTTTTTCAATCTCATTTTTTCTCAATTTTTTTCTATTTTTGTTTTATGATTTTCGGGTTTTTTTTGGTAACGTGTTCTCCAAATACTTCTTTAGTCCTAGTAGGATATAGTCGTATAATATATTTTTTAAGAAAATAACACAATAAGTCATAACATTGTACTACAGTCAAATCTCTCTACAACAATCTCGTTTGTTCCAAATATTTTTGGATGTTATAGCGAAATGATGTTATAGAGAACATATATTATAACATAACATAAAAATTGATTGCGGAAAAGCTTGGCTTTTATAGTGAAGTGTAGTTATATAGGGATGCTGTTATAGAGAGGTCTGACTATAAAATATTCAATAACAAAGATAATAAAATCGTATAAAACAAATATTGCTATTTAATAAGCCATAATAAAAATGAACATAATCTAAAAGTAGTATATAAGTCATGCTAAAATAAGTGTATCTAATAAGTACTATTAATTACATGACTAAGCACTAAAGAAAATGATAAACTAAGTTATTCATATTCATTATAAACCAATGTAAAACTAAAAACAGATATCCAATACTTTTGTCATTTTCTAGTGTTGAATTGAATTTATTTTGTTATTATTAGTATTGATTTTAACTTTATTTGAATTACTACATTTATAGACTATAAAACTTATTGGACTAGATAAAACTGTAATGTTTAAGAAATATTTATAAATTATATTACAATAAATATTTATATGTATAAAATATTTTTGAAAATTGTATAAATGTATTGTGGAGTTGGTTTAATTTTGATTTGACTTTTTTTAGTTAAAAGTCTAAAATCAAACCAAACCAATTATGGTCGAATTGTTTTCCCAATACCAAACCAAATCAATCCAAATTACATCAAATTTATTTTTTCAATTTAACTCGGATTATTGATTTAACAATTTAACTCGAATTGTTGATTTAATACAATTTATCGATTTTTTTTTTGTGCACGTTGAGAACGGAAACCTTTCACTGCGAGCTCCTTTTTAGTCAGAAGAAGAGAACTTTTCAATGCGATTAGTGAGTCTCTTTGTGCTTGCAATGAAATTCAAAATAGTCGGTCAGTGTTCAATAGGCTGAATAATTACATCAAAAGAAAAATAATATTTACGTAATAAGTTTCATGCTTAATTTGTCTATTCTACATGCATATTGAAATGTTTTTAAAATAAAATTTAAAAACTTGTAAACTACAATAAATTCTGTTATGGATTTAAGTTATACATCATTCATTAACAAATTAAAAAATGTTACACACCAACATCATACAAAAAATTATGAAAAATCAGCAATTTTTCAGAGAAAATCAATAGCAACCGAATTGAACAAAGAATGAAAATCAGAGTATTCGTGCCACAATAAATTCAGTCACTTTACAACTTTCACTACAATTCTCGTCCTTTTTTCTCCGCCCAAAGTCACATTCTTCAGCTCCACCAACTTCGACTTTCTGAACAATTTCACCACCTCCTCCACCTCTTTACCACTACACTCTTCCACAACCACAACGCACGCGCCGCCAATTCTCACCGTTCTCTCCATTTCACCCACGTATCGGGCAGGAAACAAGGCCCTTTCCAGAAACGGCCCAAACCCAAAATCAAACACGTCATCAAAAAATGGCAGATTGTGTGGATCCGCACGGCTCACGAGAGGAGGCGAGTCCACGAGCTCAACACCGTTGACATCGTAAATACCCAAGTTATTCAAGGCCATAACAGAATGACCCGCCCCGGCTGAGACGACTAAGATCCGGGACTGATTGGAGAAGAGATTTTGGGCGTGGAGGGATTGGAATTGGATTGTGAAGGATTGGACTGTTTGGATCCAGGCTTTGGTTGCCCATATACGGTGATTGTGTTTGTTTACAGTGGTGAAAGCGCGGTGACTAAAATCGCAGGTGGATTTGGGGAGTTGATGGGGATTGATGCAGTTTCTGGGGCTTTGAAGGTAAACGAGGACAAATGTTAGTGTGGCAATTGTGATGGAGGTGAAGGAGAGCTTGAAGCTCTCCATGGATGAATTTGGAGAGATGTTGATGTGAGGAAGAGAACCCAAAACGGTGTCGTTTCGAATAATGTGAGGAAGAGAGCTCAAAACGGTGTCGTTTCCAGGGGATTGGATCTATTCATGCCTCTTATTTCAGGAGCTTTACTCCACACTCCACAGTAATGCTTTTCGTTTTATCTCTTTTTCAAAGTGCATGGTCCCACTACCGTGAAACAATATCACGTCTTCTATGGACACTTTCTTCTTTTTAATTTTTAATTAATATATTTCAAAATAACATATTTATATATTTAAAAATTATAACTTTTAATATTTAATTTTACCCTAAGAATCTACTCTTATAGTCATAGATTTAGACGTAAAGAATACTTTTTGGTATATGCCAAAATAAAATAAAATATAATTTTAACCTTAAGAATATACCATTATAAATTGATCTCAATTTAGGAGTATTAAGGAAAGGAATGGCACGTGAAAGGATGGATAGTTAGTTATAATTAATTATGGGATTGGATGTTAGAGAATTAACGAAAAACAATACAGTTAGTTAGTTCTTACTTGTAATCTATATATACAGATCATATGTTATTATATTCAGTATGGTTTGAGAAAATATCTTAGCTCAGTTTTGCTCTCAAATAGAGCATTCATTCTAGAACCTTCTTGTTCATTTCTCTTTTCACATTTCCATTGAGCTAATCTCATATCTTTATTACGGTATTAGAGCTAGATTCATGCTCGATGTGATTGTCATCTTCTCATTTCTGTAGAATTATTTTATAGTTGATTATCTGTGATTTCCCCGTTCGATTGAGCTAGGGTTTACTTTTCGATATGTAATTAGCGAGTCTGTAATTCGTTGAAACAAAGACTTAATTCAACTGAATCTGTCAGCTATAGCAATTGGAGAAGAAATTTCAACTGGAATAAGCATAGGAACGACCATATATCATCATCATCCCCTGTAACTACAACCATGCGACATTCTAAGCAGCTCCTTGATTTCGATTCAACTAACTGGAACTGAAAACTATGCATTGTGGAGTAGATATATGAAAATAGGCTTGATTGGTAAGAGTAAATTAGGTTTTGTTGATGACTGCTTTACTAAGGACAAATTTGATCGATCTTTGCATGAACTTTGGGAGAAATGTAATGCTATAATTTTGTCATAGATTATAAATGTTGTGAGCAAGGAATTACTCAGTGGAATTGTGTATAAATCAAGTGCACATAAGGTGGATTATGAATAAGGTCTGGATAGATTTGAAGGATAAATATGATACGGTAGATGGAACTCGCATTTTTTTTCTGCACAAAGAGATAGCTACTTTGTCGCAGGGAATTTCCTCAGTTTCTGCATATTTCTCAAAATTGACTGACCTTTGGGAGGAATATGATGCATTGATGCCTTGTCCTGGTTATGATTGCCCAGAATCTAAGAACTTGTAACGACCCGACCGTCCATTTTGAGTATTACAATCTCGTTTCTCCATTTACTGCTCAAATTGTACTTTACAGTTGTTGTGTGAATTGCCGGGGCAATTGGTCCGGGTCCGATGAGGTTTTGGAATGAATTGGAACACTTAGTTCCAAGTTTTAAAGCTTAAATTAAAATAGTGAACATATGTCGACTTATGTGTAAACAACCTCGGAATTTAATTCTGATGATTCCAATAGCTCCATATGGTGATTTTGGACTTAGGAACGTGTCCGAAAAATTATTTGGAGATCCGTAGTAGAATAAGGCTTGAAATGCCGAAAGATGAAATTTTGGAAAGTTTGACCGGGGGGTTGACTTTTTGATATCGAGGCCGAAATCAGATTCTGGATATTTGAATAGGTCCGTAATGTGAAATGTGACTTGTGTGCAAAATTTGAGATCAATCGCACGTGATTTGATAGGTTTCGGCGTCGTTTGTAGAATTTGGAAATTTATTAGGCTTGAATCCGTGTGTAGTTCGTATTTTTGAGGTTGTTAGGTATGATTTGATGCCTCGAGTAGGTTTGTGTTATGTTATGGGACTTGTTGATATAGTTGGTTGAGGTTCCCGAGGCCTCGGGTGAGTTTCGGATGGTTAACAGATTGATTTTTGAATTTGGAAGACTGTTGGAACTGAAGCCTTCTAGTATAATCGCACCTGCGGAAAAGTGGTCGCAGGTGCGAACTCTCAAGTGCGAGCAGGGGTGCGCTGAAGCGAGGGGTGCAGGTGCGGAAGGAGCTTCGCAGTTGCGCAATCGCACTTGCACGAGAAGGAGCGCAAATGCGGGCAGAGGGCTGTGAGGCATTGGTCGCAGGTGCGAAGGAAAATTCCGCACCTGCGTGAGCGCAGATGCGCGCAGAAGCGGAAACTGGGCAAGCGAGTGGAGTCCGCAAATGCAATATTTTGCTCGCACAAGCGGAGGCGCAGGTGCGCAAATCTTGTCCGCAGATGCGAAAATCGCTGGGATAGAACCTTAAATTCGAGGGTTCGATATTTTCACCCATTTTTCGGATTTTGGAGCTCGGGTTGGGCGATTTTAGAGAAAACATTTTCCACACACATTAGGGTAAGTTTTCTTAACTCCCTTGTGATTATATTCCATGAATTAATCTTCATTTTTTGTGTAAGATTATTGAATCTTCAAGAGAAAATAGAAGAAAATTTCTATAATGTCACAAAACAAATTTTTCAAGTTTGAATACCGATTTGGAGTTGGATTTGAGTGAAATTAGTATGGTTGAACTTGTAATTGGATGTGTTGTCATATTTTGTGAGTTTCGTCAGATTTCGAGATGTGGGCCCCATGGGTGATTTTTGGGGCGCAATTTCAGATTTTTGGAAAATATTAGTATTTTGATATGGAATTAATTCCTATAAAATGTGTGGACTGAATCAAATTAATTGTTGTAGATTTGAAACATTCGGGAATTGATACGCGCATAATGGAATTTCTGGAGCATTGTGTAACTTGCTCGGCATTGGATTTGGCTTGTTCGAGGTAAGTAGCTCTTCTAATCTTGGAGTTAAGGGTATGAACCCTAAATATATATATTTCGTGATTTGTTGGAAGGTGACGCACATACTAGGTGACGGACGTGTGGGCGTGCACTATAGAAATTGTGACATAATTATTTTTGTGAAATTTTGTAATTAAATGATCTTGGCATTTTCTATGTGGTTTTATGAATTAAAGAAATTGAGCTGAAAAGAATATTAAAAAGTATGTTGAGGCTATGTGCCGGTATTATTGGGACCCACAGAAGTCATATTGTTGTGAATTATTTATTTTAAATTGAAAATTCATACTCAGTCATATTCATTTCATTGCATATCATATCTCAGTCTCTGTTGTTATTTATTGATACATCATATCATCATTTTGGGCTATTCTCATGACATTGTGAGCCCTTGAGAGAGAGACTGGAGAGATTGATGACTGAGGGAGGTTGAGGGTCTGATTGTGAAGATATGTTTTTTTTGGGATAGGGTTGCATGCCGCAGCAGGCCATGTTAGCTTTATATATATATATATATANCGTGAGTTGTCCGTGCAACACGTGAGTTGTCCGTGCGGATCCAGATATGATATTATAGCACGTGAGTTGTCCGTGCTTATAGCGCTTGGGCTGTAGGAGCCCCTCATGAGTCTGTATACACCCTCAGTGAGCGCAGTCGACTATAAACAGGGATCGGGCTGTACGCCGCAGCAGGTATTGTATAGCGCTGGATGATTGAGTGTGCTGAGCATAGTGAGAGAGAATGCGAGACAATGAGATTGAGTACTCTGAGAGTGTGAGTACATGAGTACAATCTCTGAGATACATTGCATTGACATACACATATGACATATATGCATAGAGATATGTTTTTCTCATGCTATACGGTATCACATTATTCATGATTTCTCACATATGTTGACAGATGGGCATAGTGATGTATTTGTTTTACACTAGTTATTTGGAAAGAAAATGAGATATTTTATTTATTATTGAAAGGATTTTGGAAAAATTTCTGTTTTCAAACTTATTCACATTTTTGGTAACTTTGGCAAAAGATTTGGATTTTCACTGATGTACTTGAAAGGAAGAACTATTATTGCTGAAATCATGAGGTGACTGAGCATTTTATCTCTGAGTTACTTCTGGTATTATTTTCTTTATGTTGTTATGGATTGTTGTGGACTATTGGTTTTGGACCCGACCTTGGTGGATGCTCGTCACTACTTTCAACCTACGACTAGGTTTGTTACTTACTCAGTACATGGGGTTGGTTGTACTGATACTACACTTCTACACATTTCGTACAGATGTTGGTTATTGTTGTTGCTGTGCTCGATGGTTGCGGGATTTGAAGATGTACCTGTGTTCCTGTTGTAGCTGCCTCTTGTTCAGGGTAGCCTTAGATTTATAAAAGCTCTGTTTAAGTATTATTCAAACAGACTATATATTTATTTCATTTCCGCTTTGTATATTCTATTCTTAGAAGCTCATGATTTGTACTTCCAGTTCTTGGGGAATGTATAAGGTTAATATAATTATTTACTTAAATTGCTTTAATGACTATTATTGGAATTGGATAATTGAAATTTGGCTTACCTAGCGGGTTGGGTTAGGTGCCATCATGACTAGTTGGATTTTGGGTTGTGACAAGGTGGTATCAAAGCTCTAGGTTCATAGGTTCTACAAGTCATGAGCAAGTGTCTAGTAGAGTCTTGCGGATCGGTATGATGACGTCCATATTTATCTTCGAGAGGCTACAGGGCATTTAGGATATATACTTCCCATCTTTCTTTCCTTATCGTGCGGGATTGATTCAGCTTGGGACATAACTCTTTGAATTCCTTCCACGTATTCGTATGCGCACATGAGCGCTCGGTATCAGTTGTGCATCACCGGCTTGTGATTTTTATGAGCGAGGTTTGAGGTGAGTATTCTGTGTTTTGGTGATGGGCCACTTTGGAGGACTTGAGGCCATGGTTAGACCGCAGTTTAAGCTCGGTCGCTTCAGTTATAACTTGTACAATTGGATTCATATGTCCGGTAATGACCCTACAGTGGAATTTGTGGCTCGATGAGCGGTGAGATGGTTTTCTGATGAGTATGATGTAACTGCGGGATGTATTAAGACGATTTGAATGTGACGAGAAGTGTTTCCTTGAAATGTAAAGGAAGGCCATTGGGTGCTTGATTTTCATTTTGATGTGACGTACAGTCTCGAGTGTGAATGTTTTGAAGGTTCTTTCACGATTGTTAAAATTTGGGACAAATTAAATTCTCATGTCTGGTTAGTGAGTTTGGACTCAAATAGACTAAGTGATTGCATAGTAATTGTGACTCGAAAGGGTATATCAAGATACCAATTTGAGGTTAAGCAGGTGGGTTATTCCCTGCGGAGTAATCTACGTAAGTGTATTCCTTATGATGTGAGTTGAGAGTTTCTTTTCTGCCAGTGAGGCATATGTGTGGAGATTTAAATTTGAATCTGGCTGAGAAAGTTGACTTGAGTGTCAAGAGAATGATTGCGAGCTTAGCGGACGATTTGGGGTATTTTTATGGTTGCCGTTGCATGAGTTTGAGAAGAAGTTTCGTTGAACTGACTGTGGAATTATGACAGTAATAAAGTTTTGGTATTGTGAGATATGGAATGTTTTAATCTATAGCTTTGAGCCAAGTGGGGGAGCCTACTATTGATTATTCAATTTCATGATTATATGTAAAGGTTTAGTTTTGGACTGAGGCATACTGGTGGGTCAGTTATGACTTGCAGAAGTTGAGATCGATAATGACTCGAATAAGGAAATTCCTGGATATGGGTTATATTGCACTTATAAGTATATGAAAATCGTGGGATCAGTGAGTTGTTATGGGTGAATGATGTAGTGTGCACGGAGTATGAATTTGATAGGTGGTGTTAAAGTAGAGTAATTTCTTTGAGTGTTGTTGTGCTAATGGGGCACGTGTCTTTTGGCCCATTTGGGCGGTGCAATTAAATTTGAGCAAAGTGGGTGACTTCCGAGAGAATTCTAGTGGGTTTGAGAATTCTATATAGCAATTGAGAATTTCTCCGGACTTGTGTATGGATAAAGCCTGAGATTTGTATTTGATGGTGCCTGGACTTACGAAAGTTCTGTATGACTAGGGATTCTACATTTTAGTATAAGGAAGGTAAGATTTCTTTGAGAAGAGAATACAGACACGAACCATTCACTTTCACTTTATTGAATAATTCCTACAAATCCTTCCAAACCAAGTGTGCATTTGAATGAAATAGAATTTCACTCAACAATTCCTTGCTCACATTTTCGGTACGCAACGAGACAACTATTGCATTACATCGATCCCATTGATGCCCTAAAGCTAGTCCAAAAGTATCCGTAGTGATTGTGCCATCTATGAATCCCAGCTTATTCCTCCCTAGGAGTGAAACTCTCGTTGCTTGATCCGACAAAGTGTAATTTTCCATGCCTACAAGTTGAATACCAACAGATAGAGAACCAGATG